AATATGCTTATCATGTATGGAAGCTTCCACTAGACTTGGTTAAGGGGGGAGAAGTGCACCATGGAAATGTTCCTTCTAGTAACTCGTGCCTGGGAGCTCAACTGCTTATTTTGTTCATTGCTCTGCCATATGTCACCGTTTACTACCTTATTCATTCCAGTTGGGTCCGTCTGATATCACCACCATAGCATCACTTCCTGTGACATCACCTTCACTAACATTATGTCATCATTACAATACCACTTCCTGTGACATCAACTTCACTGACATCACTTCCGGTGATATGACCTTCACTGACACCACTTCCAGGGAAATCACTGCAACACTACTTCTTGTTGTATCATTTTCACTACATCACTTCCTGTGACATGACCTTCACTGAATCCATTTCCTGGGAAATCACCATAACACCTATGACATCACTTTCACTGACATCGCCTTCACTGATATCACTTCCTGTGACATGGCCTTCACTAGTATCACTTCCTAGGCAATCACCATAACATCACTTCCTATGACATCACTTTCACTGACATCGCCTTCACTGATATCACTTCCTGTGACATGGCCTTCACTAGTATCACTTCCTAGGCAATCACCATAACATCACTTCCTATGACATCACTTTCACTGACATCGCCTTCACTGATATCACTTCCTGTGACATGGCCTTCACTAGTATCACTTCCTAGGCAATCACCACAACACCACTTCCTGTTGCATCACCTTTACTGACATTACTTCCTGTGACATGCCTGTCCACAAATTAAAATAGATAAATAAATAACCTTGTAAGCAGGGCCACCAACACATTCCTCCACATCAGTTAGACATTGTCGGAGATAAGGCGGTCCTCCAAAGCTGCCCACAAGTTTGTTAAACATGTTAAAGCTTATATTATTATTATACGGGATTTATATGGCGCCAACAGTTTGCGCAGCGCTTTACAATATAAGGAAGATATTGCAATCACAATACAATTCTAGACACGATGGTTAGGAGGGCACTGCCCCTGAGGGCTTATATGAGGTTTTACGGATTGGGATTACATATCCTTTAAACTGTAACAGAAATGAAAAGTGAAATTAACAATCACATGGCGGGTAATAATTATCAGTGTGGTACAAACACACATTTTGTTAGCTGCGTGTATAGAAATGACATTTTATATCGTCAATATTTACAAAAAATTACAACCATTTACTGTATTAATGTCACACTTTCTGGAACATTCACTATAGCGGCTCACACTCAGGGCCGTATTTCCCACAAGGCCAACCAAGGCCTGGCCTCGGGGGAGCAGGGAGTAGAGGGGTGTGGAATTCCTATCCCCCGATGCCCCGGACATGCAGTTCCGGGTGCCGGGCGGGTAGTTGTTTTCTACATTTAGCCCTGCTTTAGCCAAGCAGAGCTAAATGTACAGCGGGGAAGTCGCCACTTGTTTTGTACAAGTGACATCGGTGATGTCGCAGAGATCACTTGTATGCAGCCTGCGGGTCTGCCATTCTCCATGGAGGGAGGGGGGGTTGGTGGGTAGGGGGGCGCATTGAGGAACCTGGCCTTGGGGCAACAGAGAGAGTAAATCCGGCCCTGATCACACTGTGTAGAGGGAATCATTGATCCTTCAGGATTCCATACAGAATATTATCACTATTAGTTGTTGGATTGTTTTCCTAATGGCTTTTCTTTGTTTTAACAGGATCTGCCCCTGCCCAGGAAGAGCAGTGGGTAAGTAGTATTTACATTTTCTTGCCTCTCCCTCTGTTCTCAGTGACTGCACAGTACCTGGTTTTTAAGAGATCCTCCACTCTCCCGGATTAGGCGAGCTTCCTGTGATTGTCCAGTCCTGGCTTATGATGTCTATAGATTGCTATGGAAGTAAAGAGCATATATTGGGGGTACAGAGAGTAGACTGTTTATAGATGGAAAAGTTGGAAATTATGTCTTCAAATAGACATGGGGGAGCGTACATGGATAGAAAAATACTGAAGTCTTATATCTAAATGTGGAGGACACAAAGCTTGTCATAGAGAGAGTTATGTCAGCACAGAGCTTATCACATCTAGAGATGGATATAGAGTTACAGAGTTCTTTATGTCTGATAATGAATGTGGAGGTGCGGTGCACAGCATATCATGGCCAAGAAGAGATTTTGAAGTACACAGTTTATCATCTCTAGGAAGAGACATGGAGGTATACAGAGTTCATTGTATCTATAGATGTATATCTATGTATATATACACTATATTGCCAAAAGTATTGGGACCTTTACACGCACATGAACTTTAATGGCATCCCAGTCTTAGTCCGTAGGGTTCAATGTTGAGTTGGCCAACCCTTTGCAGCTATAACAGCTTCAACTGTTCTGGGAAGGCGTCCACAAGGTTTAGGAGTGTGTCTATGGGAATTTTTGACCATTCTTCCAGAAGCGCATTTGTGAGGTCAGGTACTGATGTTGGAGGAGAAGGCCGGGATCGCAGTCTCCGAGGTGGATATGGGGTACATAATTGATCATGTCTAGAGGTGAATATGAGCATGCAAAGTTTGTCGTGTCTACAGGTAGATATGGGGTACGGAGCCTATCATGTCTTGAGGAGGATATAGGGCACAGAACTTATAATGTCTAGAGATGGCAATAGGTTACAGAGCTTATCGTGAGGTGAATATGAGAATACAAAGTCTGTCGTGTCTAGAGATCAAAATGAGGTACAGAACCTACCATGTATAGAGGTGGATATAAGGTACATACTTTATAATGTCTAGAGGTGGATATAGGCTACAGAACATATCATCTGTAGAGGTGACTATTAGGTACGAGGCTTATCATGTCTGGAGATACATATAGGGTGCAGAGCTTATCATGTCTAGAGGTAGATATATGGAAACAAAACGTATTCTGTCTACAGATAGATATGAAGATAGAAAGCTTATTGTGTCTAGAGATAGATATGGCTGTGCTGATCGTATAATGTAGTTGTGGAATACTGGTAGCTTATCAAGCATAGAGATATACAGTATATGGGTGGATATGGGGTACAAGGATTGTTATATCTAGAAGGTGGATATGGGGTACAGAGATTATTATGTCTAGAAGGTGGATATGGGGTACAGGGATTGTTATGTCTAGAAGGTGGATATGGGGTACAGGGATTGTTATGTCTAGAAGGTGGATATGGGGTACAGGGATTGTTATGTCTAGAAGGTGGATATGGGGTCCAGAGATTATTATGTCTAGAAGGCGGATACGGGGTACAGGGATTGTTATGTCTAGAAGGTGGTGTGGGGGTATAGCTCGAATGGGGGATCACCTTCCCTGGGAAAAACAGTCCAGGCAGCAAAGTTCTTTTTCTCTCTGAACACATCCAACATGTAGCTCTCTCAGAACGCTGTCTGAGTCCCAGGCCAGAGCAAAACCATGTCTCAGCCTTCCCCTTTTATCTCACCTGGACAAGCATTCATCAAGCAATCAACTATCCAGGTGAGACCCAAAGCCCGAGCTGGACTATCCGGACCCAAAGTCAAAGCGAAACCCTGGTCAGGGTTCCGCTATTCATGCACATAGGATAGAAATCGAGGGGAAACATACCGCCCCTCAATGATGTCCCCTCTCCTTATGTCACAGTGGATATGGGGTACATGGATTGTTATGTCTAGAAGGTGGATATGGGGTACAGAGATTATTATGTCTAGAAGGTGGATATGGGGTACCAAGTTGATCATGTCTAGAGGAGGATTTAAGGGTATGGAGTTTATTATATCTAGCGATGGATCCAAGGGATGTTGAACCGATGTCTACAGCAGACGTGGAGTACAGAGCTTTTCGAGTTTAGAGACAGATATAGAAATGACATAGCTCAATCTGTCTAGAGATGGATATGGGTCTGCAGGTCTATAGATGGAAGGGGGTTCAGAGCTTCCACAGAGGTGGAAACAGAAGTGTGTCTTTAGAAGTGGATGGGTAGATTACAGAGGGTGTCATGACTAGAGATCTAGAGATGGATTTGGGTCTGCAGGGCTTATGTCTATAGATGGAAGGGATTCAGATGGGTAGAATACAGAGGTTGTCATGACTAGAGATGGATATGGGTCTGCAGGGCTTATGTCTATAGAAGGAAGGGATTCAGAGCTACCACAGAGGTGGATACAGAGCTGTGTCTTTAAAAGTGGATGGGTAGAATACAGATGGTGTCATGACTAGAGATGGATTTGGGGGTACCATCCATAGCCTGTTATCCCCATTATCTATTTACTAGGGTTGTCTGCTGGCAGTACCCGTAGGCCGCCTGATCATCACCTGATTCTGCTGAACCTGGCATGATTGGATGGCAGTTACCTAATGCTTTCTGGGCATCTCAATGTACATGTGCAGTGACACACATCTACTCACTTATAGATGTGTGCTAACTTACAGGCATGACAGAGCCAGTTATCGTCATCCACACACGTGTAGTTGACGTGTCACATACAGGCAGATGCACACTCATGCAGTGAGGAGCTGAGCATTAAAGGACCCAGCTGAAGCCTCTCACTGGTTCCATCTCTCCGTCTGCTCGCCCCCTCCTGTCTGCAGATCTTTTTGCTGCTTCCTTTCCACTCATAATATCCTTGTCATCCTTCCCTGTCTCATCTCTCCCCCTGGATCTCCAGCATCTCTCCTTCTCCGGTCTCCCAAGCTCTGCCTTTGTGTTCCCCTCCTTTCCTTTCTACCAATCCCTCCTCCAGCTGCCCTCCCTCTCTCCATCTCTCATTCCCTGTCACCTTCTCTGCTGTCTACCTATACATCATCACAGCTGTGCCCGGCTCCTTCTCCTGTCCCTTTGTCTCTCTGTCTCTCTCTATCCTGCTGTCTACCTATACATCATCACAGCTGTGCCCGGCTCCTTCTCCTGTCCCTTTGTCTCTCTATCTCTGTCTCTCTCTATCAATTTTTAGCCCTTGGTCCTTCTCTTCTCTGTCTCCTCTATTGTCCTGTGCTCTCCCCTTCTGCTCCATCTCTCCTCTCCTCTGCTTCCTTCCTTTTTATTTTGTCCTGTCATCGTCCTTTGCTCAACAGCCAACTGTCCCCTTCCAGTCTTCTGCTAATGACCATGTCTTTCTTGGAGCATCTCTGATCACCTTGTGACAACCCCTTCTTCACTGACAGACCCCCTCTGCTCACCTGGCCGAGGTCACCTACCTCCTCCAGACATGTTCAGGCGCACCAAGAGGTAACATTGCTGCTTGTAGAGAAGGGCAGGCAAGAGGGGATTCTAATGGGGGAGATGAAGGTCTACTATGTGTACCTCCCAAATATGGGGACTCAGTTCTATTAGCTGCAGCGGATGTTGTCTGTGAGCAGGTGTGTGATGACATTGCTGTATGATCCGTGTCCTATTATCTATTTCTTTTCCTCTTTCTTTTCTTTCTTTCTTTCTTTCTTTCTTTCTTTTTCTCTCTTTCCACATCTTATCTACTTGTTATCTTTGTTTTGTTGTATCTTTTTTAATTTTTCTATGTAGATATCTATACATATATCCATTTATCTATCTAGCTATCCACTTCTTATTATCTACTTATTATCTATGTATCATTTATCTTTCTTTCTTTCTTTCTTTCTTTCTTTCTTTCTTTCTTTCTTTCTTTCTTTCTTTCTTTCTTTCTTTCTTTCTTTCTTTCTCTTTCTTTCTCTCTTTCTCTCTCTCTTTCTCTCCTTTCTCTCTCTCTTTCTCTCTTTTTCTCTTTCTTTTTCCTTTTTTCTCCATTTACTTATCTATTCATATACAGTAAACTCTCTGTCATCCAGCATTCAACTAACCAGAACTCTCATCCATCCGGCATTCATCTAATCATTTAAAAAAAAATTCCCTGTGTACTTATTGTTCTGCTGATCTGCGGCTTGTATTATCCTGCAAATGATCGTGTGCCTTAATTTGCTTTTGATTACTGCATTTCAATATTAATATGAAGTTGATACAGAGCTTATGTTATGCTATGGTATAGTATGAGGTATGGCATAGTATGAGGTATGGTATAGTATGAGGCATGGCATAGTATGAGGCATGGCATAGTATGAGGTATGGTATAGTATGAGGCATGGCATAGTATGAGGTATGGCATAGTATGAGGTATGTCATAGTCTGAGGTATGGTATAGTATGAGGTATGGCATAGTACCGTATGAGGTATGGAATAGTCTGAGGTATGGTATAGTATGAGGTATGGTATAGTCTAAAGTATGGCATAGTATGAGGTATGGCATAGTATGAGGTATGGCATAGTATGAGGTATGGCATAGTATGAGGTATGGCATAGTATGAGGTATGGCATAGTATGAGGTATGGCATAGTATGAGGTATGGTATAGTATGGCATTTGTTAGATCTATCTTTAATAGTAACTCACAAGCAACCAGAAACTACATTTATCCGAAATCTACCAATCCCCATGGGTGCAGGATAATGGGGAGTTTACTATATCTATCTAGCTATCCACTTCTTATATCTACTTGTTATCTATGTTTCCTTTTATCTTTCTTTTTTTCCTTTCTTCCTTCCTTTCTTTCCTTCCTTTCTTTCCTTTCAGCCCCATCATCTACTTCTTAAATAGATAGATGAATAGGTAAGAAGTATATAATGGGGCTAGAAGGAAAGGAAAGGAGAGGGAAGGGAAATGGGAAGAAGGAAAGAAAGAAGCAGCATAGACTATAAATAGCAAATCGGCAAAGATAACAAATAGATAAATTATCTATCTATCTATCTATCTATCTATCTATCTATCTATCTATCTATCTATCTATCTATCTATCTATCTATCCTTAGTCTTTCTTACTTTCTTGGTGTCTTCAGAGTAAGTTAAATAAATTTCCCCCTACGGTGAGATGAATACATTTTAATTTCCACTGTAAGGGAAAATGGATTATTCAAGAGCCTGTGCAGGCGTAAGTAAAAAGGAGGAATGAGTTAAGGGGAACAGGCAATGCGCTCCTAACCAGGAGCAGGCGTCATGGCTGAACGATCCTGTTTAGTCAATAGAGAGTGACGCTGGTGGAGGCTTTCTGCACCACTCATCACCGGGAGGAAGAATAGAGACTGGGACAAGTTTTCTAACTTGATCAATAGTCCTTCCTGGGATAAGCTGACAGTCATGTGTGGGGCCTGTAGACCGGAGATTGATGCCTGTTAGGCTAGACATAGATGGATCAAGCGACTGCCATTTCTTGCCCGTGGGTAGCTAAACTATGTCTGTTTGTCCTGTAATGATGACTCATTATACCTCTGACATGAATTGCGCCCATACAATGTTCAGATGAGGATCACACTGTTTATGAGTTCACCTTGGGGGAGCACAAACAGCTCCTTAAGACCCCAAAAGTCTGATCACTGCTAACAAAGACTTTCCAACTTGATGGGAAATCTCTGAGTGACCCAACCAGCCTACTGTCCATGGGGAGTAGTGAACTGCATGCACAGTGTATCGGGTCCCTATGTGAATACAGGGCAGACGTCACCCCAAGAACAATGGCCCATCTAAGGTCGGCCTCAAGGACGGGTTCTGTATCTTGGAAAATGGGATTCCAGCCTACGGAGTTTAACACAATGAATTCTGCCCTGTATGTATAATGAATGCAGATGAGACAGACGCCTAGAGCACCACGGAGCAGGGGGAATCTTGTGTTTTATTTTAATTCAGTTGGGCTAATTTGCATGGGAAAAATGGAGCAAATAGAAGAAAGGTTGTTGGCTGAAGCAAGCTTTGAAATATCAGCTTCTGTTTTCTAGCGTGCCCTAAAAAAACCGATCAATTGGTCTTGAACCGGTTGCTGTGCAAAAGCCTCCAACACCAGGCGTGCCAGGGTGACCATGAACAGACTGTGCGAATCTTGTTTTGAATGGGAGCTTCAACAACGCTCATAGTGAATGCCTAAAATCCCATCACAAGAGTCGTGAGCAAGTTGCTATAATTAGGGAAGGGATGCTGGATGGAAGTGCACTCTGTGTAGTGGCTAGTTTGTTGTCTACAGCTCATAGCAGTCAGGCTCTTTTTCCTTCTTTAGACCCGAAAAGTTAATTTAACTTTCAAACTTTGCATCCGAAATCAAAAGGAAATATAGGTTAATGGGTCAATGCAACAAAATATATGTTCATTTTGGGTAGATGCTGGAGAGTTAACAACCTGGAAACTTCACATTTGCATATAATACTTACTCTGTTGGTGAGATCTCGGCGCTAGATTTTTAATTATGTTAGGATTAGATTATGGAGGGAAAAACAGGAGGAGCTGCAACAAACAAGGGTAGACGGGAACACCTAAACCTTCCAGATGTGCAGTAACATGAGATGGTACTCATGGCAGGGAGATCATCAGTTGAAGAATCCAAGACATAAGAAACCAGGGGATGACGTAACCAAACAAGTTCCACCTACACTTTTGGATGGACCAATCCCCAAAATAAACAATCATTGAAAAATGTCTGGGGCTGCTGAAACAGAAAGTCTGAGGGCCAGTGCCTACCTAGGCGACACCTCACCAAAACAGCCGCGCGTCGTGTATTGCAAAAAAAGGTACATCTATCTTTTTTCTGCGATTGCCGCGCGGATGTCACCCTATTGAAATCAATGGGGCCGCGTGGCAATCGCTGTCTGCATTGTGCAGGACCGCGCGATCCTGGATCGCTTAGGTCTGCACCGGGCCTGATTCGAGGTCTGCTCTTGTGAACCCTAGGTGTTGAGGAGGCCATGGTGGACCATTACTAAAATGTAATTTACAATTTCAGGTCCTCTTTATTAATCTGGCTAAAATAAAGCACTTTGAATTTTGCAATGTGCATTGTCTTCTTCATGATCCAAGTTATCCAATAAAACATCTGAGTGCCGTGTAGCATTGGTCTTGAAACAGGCGTTGCTGTTCTTGAAGGCCCATAGGTCCTTCCTTCCACATTCTGTAGTTTGTATAGATGATGGGGGACCCTTAGCACTTCTGATAGCTGTGACATCCAAAAAGCTCAGAGTCAATGCTCATTGCACATAATAAACAATCATTGCCTAAAGGGTTCATTACCCCTGCTGTCACCTCTCCTACGTCATTCCTGCAGGTTAGGGGCCTCATTCTGCAGAAATTGCACATTAAATCTAATTGTGTCATCACAAACTCATTATACTGTAGGTACTGAGCTCTTTGTTTCAGACATCAGAGTAGGTTTGGCTAATGGAGAGGTATTGGGGAGATTGGCCTGCCAATAGACTGGAGAGGTCCGTCATTTGTGCATGCACCATCCATTTGCCCTCAGGGGGCAGCTGTATGCAGAGAGGTTTATGTCAGTAGAGAGGGGATATTAGAGGCCCTCCCCAACTCATCAGAAGGAACGAAAATGATCAGGACAGTGAGTGGTGTTGGATGCCTCCCATAGACATGAGATTGACTCTCAGTCTGGCTGATCCATCATTTCATACCTTTAAGCATAGCAGTCAACTGTCCCTCATTTGGTACCAAATCCCTTTGTCCCCTTTTTGTCCTTCATTGTCCCTTTTCTGGGTCTGATGTATGCACTATTAAAGATGCCATACCCTCCACACTCTTCCGCTGTACATACTGACCACTGTCATACCCTCTGCACTCCTCTCCTGCACATACTGCCCACTGTCATTCCCTCCACACCCCTCTCCTGCACATACTGCCCACTGTCATTCCCTCCACACCCCTCTCCTGCACATACTTCCCACCCTTTGTACTTCTCTCCTTCACATACTGCCCACCTTCAAACCCTCCACACTCTTCTTCTGTACATTCTGCCCACTGTCATACCCTCCATGCTCCTCTCCTGCACATACTGCCACCTTCATACCCTCTGCCTTCCTCTCCTACACATACTTCCCCCCATTATACCCTCCACACTCCTCTCATGCACATACTTCTCCTGTCATACCCTCCACACTCCTCTCCTGCACATTCTGCCCCTATCATACCCTCCGCTGTCCTCTCCTGCACTCATAGGAGTGTATGGCCCCCACTATATCTGGGGAGGACCTGTGTTGAGCAGGATATAGGAGTTTAAAAACTTGGCCGTGAAGGAAAGGGGCAGAATGTTGGCCCTTATGCAATTAAGTGAATGATTTTGTAGAATTATATTATTAAGCTGGTGTATTCAAAGCCCTAAAATGCAGGGTCCTTTTACACATATGTATATGACAGTAATGTGTATTTTTTATGCATTTTATAGATGCTATTTTGTTTAATCAAGTTTATAGAGATGAATTCAAAATAAGTATTTTTCATGGTGCAGGAGCTTTAAGAACAAGTGCATTTCTGTGCAGTTATTCATTTTAGTGGTATTGCTTGACATTGCTTGGCACTGCCTGGCATACATGTGAACTAGCTACATAGGAATGAATGGGATCTCATGCATTAAAGCCCATTTCCGGGCAAAGAGAAAAAGTACGCTTGCAGTGGGGTTATCCCAGAACTGCAGGGGAGTGGAGTAAAGCAGATTTATGTACCTGTTCCCCATGCCCTTGGGGGTCAGCGCCAGGGGTGTCCTAGATTTTTCATTGTCTAATGCCGGGGGGTTTGTGGTGTGCTGGTGGTGCATGCTACCTCTAGCTCCGGCATCCTGCCCAGCTCACTGGTTGCCAGGAGCTGAGCGGGACACCAGCCAGAGAGTCCCAGGTCTCTAGGAGCTCTTACCGTAGCAACCTGGGATGCTTTGGCAGCAAAGGGGGCATCAGACAAACTGCCGCTCTGCCTGCAGGACCCCCACATGACCCAAAGAGATGCCGCCTGAGACAATTGCGTCAGGCTGCCTCATTATAGAGATGGCCCTGGTTGGCGCGCTCCTTTTCTCCCTCTCTGCTCCTGCTGATGGACTGTCCCTCAAAAGTCCTCATGTGTAATGCAGGTCTATGGAATCTGCATTAGTCATGACTATGTCAGTGGTCCCTGGACCGACAAGAAGAGGCTGCAGGGACCGATCTGGCAGCCTGGAGGGAGCCGGCAGGAGCGAGGATCAGGTAAGAAAATCTGCTTTATTCCACCATCTAGACATAAAAGAAGCAATTAACTCTTGCAGTGAGTGGTTAGCCCCATTGCAAGGGTACTTTTAAATGCATGCATGTGAAATAGATTTACTATATAAAACAGATAAATGTTAATGGTGTAAACCCCAAAACAGAAAAACCCTCAAAGTAAAAAAAAAAAAGATAACAATAGACTGAAGATAAGCGATAGAATGTCTCAGATTTTGTTCTCCAGAGCTGGCACTCTATTAGAGAAAAGTATGTCAGGCGGAATGGAGTAGGTAGGCAGCACATACATCATCTATTATTCAGGAGTGTCTGGCTCGGGTTGTATGTTCGGTGTAGCACATGTGTGTGTCTGTACATGTACAGGCTCTCCCTAGAGGTGTCACGCTTCCTCTCTTATCTGCCAGCTGAGCCGCCTTGTCTCAGATTCCAGACTCGTTGTCTGCACTGATCTCCAGGCGATGTCTGTCCATCAGATGCGGTCTCACGGCCTCTCCTTCTGTGCAAATAAAGTGTACCTGTCCTCTGAGATGACATGCATTTCCATTCTATTTTCTTTGTGTCTTGCAGTTGCAGAAGCAGCAACAGGAAGAGCCTGATCCTGACGAGCAGCAGTTCTCCCACGCTCCCCCGGCCGCATTCTCCTTTGCCGGGGCACATAGGTAAGCTCTTAGGGTGATTAAAGGTACACTTCAACCTTCCCTTTAGTCTTATACAGACTGAGGGGACAAGTGGTGTCCCTAGCCTATTAGCCACATGAGGCAGAGGGGGGGGGGAGGGGGTTGTGCTGGAGGTGCATGTTCTGGGACGGGGATGCTGGTGGGGCATCCCGCCCAGCTCACTGACGCCACTGGTTGCCAGGAGTTGGCCGAATGCTAACCAGAGCATCCCAGGTTTCCAGGAGCTGGGCAGGGAGATGTGTCTGGTCCTTACACATCTCCTAGCTGGGCTGCAACCTGGGATGCCCTGGGCCAAAACGGGGCAGCAGGCGCAATGCAAACATTGTGCAGCAGAATGGCTGCCTGCCGCCCCCCGATGTGACCAAAAGAGATGCCGTCTGAGCCTCAGGCTGCCTCCTTATAGAGATGACCCTGAGAATGCAGACCAGGACTTCTGCCATTCCAGCAGCTCCCAAGAAACCTTTGTAAAGTCTAGCTAGGGTACTAGAACAAAACAAAACAAAAAAACAGGCCAAAACATTTACCGCTGAAGGTTAAAAGCTTCTAACAGGGTCCGGCAAGGTCATCGTCATCTGTCACACCAAGCTGCGTTCCACATTTTGATCTGGCACGCTCTTCACAAAGTAGGTGACCTCCTCAATTATACATATAGCGGTGAGTTATGCAGCTTTTCCTGCCCACTGCAGCGTGAGGAACAGCCTGCCAATGGGTGATGACTTCCGTAGAGAATCCTAGATGTGCAGATCATAATTCTGCAGCGTCAGTAAAACCTGTTTTCCCTGCTCGTGTTTTTTATGACTTCTATTGGTTATTTTACAAGTAAAGGTTCTTAATCAAACATTTTCACCTAATTAAGATTTTTGTATTAACATTGTACTTGTAACATTGTGATTCTTGTCTGTGCACCAAGAGTGAATAACAGGTGCGTGCTGCTAGTTCACTGTGACATGTAGATTAACATTCTCTCAGCGAAGACTTACTGGAGTTGACATACTAAAGGCAAATATGCTGTTCCCTTTGCAATTCAATTTGCTCTACGCAGGGGAAGTTTCCCTTAGCTTGATGAATGTGGTGAAATATGACTTTGCCAAGAATACCCAATCATGTGCAAAGAAAAACTAAAAAAACAAAACACGATTTTTGCTGTCACATGATTGGATGATGGAAGTCAGCAGATCTCCATCTCATTCACTAAGGGAGAAACTTCCCCTGCAAAGTGCCATTTTCCTTGCAAAGTGAACAGCTTTTAGTAAATAAACCCCATAGACCACGGTAAGCAAATTCCATCCCTCCAGCTGTGGTGAAACTACATATTCTAGCATACAGCTGCCTCTGGGGGCCATGCCTGTGACTGTCAGATCTTGCAATGCCTCATGGGATTTGTAGTTCCACAACAGCTGGAGGGCTGAAGTTTGACTACCATAGACTCTTACTGATAGCCAGCAGTGCAGCCTCTGCCAGACCCTCCTGTGGCTGGCTGTACTTCTGCAGAGCCATTTTAAAATGTCAGTAAGTGGTTAAAGCAGAACGCTGAGTGTTTTTGTAACCCTTGCAGTGTGGCTTCCTATGCACTGCAAGGGTTAAAAGAGAAGTATGGGGTAAGTGTTTTCACCCATAGTTCTTTTAAGGGTCACGGGAGGACATATACTAGCATCCTCCCGTGACCCAAAGCTCAGTATATTTTGCGAGCTACAACTTGCGGTATTCTGAGACGCATTACTGTCGAGATCCACCCAGCGTGGAGTGACAGAGTGAGTGACAGCTAGCTCTAGCTATCTAGAGGCAGAGCCAGCTGTACCCACCCCCTCCCCCGTCCGTTCCGCCAGTCAGCGCTGGAGGATCGGAGCAGGGAGGGGGGAATCCCTGCAGGGAGCCGTGAGTGACAGTCCTGATGTCTGCAACTCTAATGTTGCCATATTTGGTGCCCGAAGTCAGTGGCGTAGAGGTCACACCTGTTTCATGGACTTGGGATTGGAACTCTGATGGAATTAAGGATTGCAGTATGGAGAAAGAAAATATTCCAAAGTGTATAGGAAGCCAACATTTTTTTGTCAGTTTTGGAAAGATATCGGAATGGTTAAGAAAGACCCTTCTAGGGGTCTCTTTGGGGAGATTTCCCTTTACTTCCTTTCCCAGAGACACAGCAGGAAGTAAGATCTCTCTAAATCAAAGGGATAGCTCTTCTTAGTTGTCACCACTGGAATATCTCCACTCACCTCCTTTTCCTGTGACAACTTAAATGTTAGATTTCCCGTCACTTTCTGTACTTGGTTTAACCCCTTTTGTGTTTTATTTTTTAAAATTTTAGGGGGAAGCCCTATGGACAGCCCTCGCAATTTTTCTCCTAGTGCCGCTGCTCATTTCTCCTTTGCATCCTCACGCAGGTAACATTAGATTTACGCCTATCTTTCCAGATAGAATATATTGCTTATATTTTTACTGTTCTCTATATCCTATGCAAATTATTGCTATATGGTGGTACCTGTAGTCTGCCTTCTTCTGTAGATTGCTGCTTGGGTTCAGACTATAGCACTGTATAAAAGCTGGGCCCCTCACCTGTGTCATGCTGCCACCCCTGGGCTCCTCACCTGGGTTATGAACCTGTCCGCCCCCATGTTTTCCTCGTCCCTGAAGATAAAGTCTGAGTTGTAGTTTCGGGTGAGCTCTTAGAAGCTCTCCAAGTTGCGGATGATCTTGCCCTTGTACCTCCCGCTGGCTCCCGGGGTCTTCTCGGGCACATTGGGACTGAACTGTTTGTAGGACAGCAGGGTGAGCTTGGCAGGACTTCGTCTCCTGCCCACCGCGATGCCTCACACTGCCAGGCTAAGGAGCAGCAGGGTGTCGCAGAACAGCAGCACGATCAAGAGAAGCTGCATGGGGCTGCGGACCACAGGAGCTCCATGTGTGCACAGGGGGGATTAGGGTGTGCCCAGCACACTCGACACACACCTCTGCATCAGTCCCTACTCTCAAGGAGCTTACAATCTAAGGTCCTTCCTTACCTAATATGCATACACAGACTAGTGCCAATTTAGACAGGAGCCAGTTAACCTTCCAGCATGTCTCCCTTTGCCTGCCCCACGCAGGCAAAGGGAGAACATGCAAACACCATGCAGATCATGTCCTGACTGGGGTTTGAACTAGGGACACCCAGTGCTGTAAGGCAGAAATACTAATCACAAAGTCACTGCACTGCAACACTCACCTTCTCTCCAGTACTGTATTGCCTCCAGCAGACTCTCTGCTCCATGGTCTAGCGGCAGTCCTCTTCTGGGTTGACACATTGTTTTGCCTGATGAAGGGACCACATTCGTTGAGAAACATTGCAATCTTTTATGATAGCATCTTGATCAAACATCATGATAATGTGGACCCCGGTGTGCTGGTGACCTCATTTCCTCTATTGTTTTTGGGCCGCCATCTGCTGGCCATTTCAGCACCCACTGCAGTTACAAGAAGGGATACGTTGGTTGGTCTGGAGTGCGATGGAATATCTTTAACTCTTCTGGGTTGAATGACATGCAGCACCATACAACCCATTTTGCATGGGCCCAGGGTGTCATGGACACACCCCATGCAGGTGTGTCATCATGCCAGCCTGATATAGTCCATATACCCACTGCACTCTGATACTATTCCAATGTGATAAGATGGCTGCTACGGTTGTCGGCGGATGGCAACAGCCTCGTCATATGAACAAAAGCATGGACACCAGCACTCCAACGCACTGAGCATTGAGTGTATTTGCTATGCAGCAGGTACGTTAATAAATAGTCGTACTTGATCAGCTATTGGATCGCCGGTGTCCATGCTTTTGATTATGCTAGCCTGGGCACAAAGGAGAATGCTGCAGAGGACAGCAAAGCTCCCTGTGGTTGCTGACACCTGAGAGAAGAGGAAGAGAGAGACCCTGGGATGCCATGTGACCAGCCAGATGACAACAGAAAAAAAGATATGTATGCAAAAAAAAGATATATAAAAATGTATTTGTGTGTGTGTGTATGCGGGGGGGGGGGTCTGCTTTAGGGGCTTTAATAGTTGGAGTATGCCATAGGTCCCCAAATGCTGTTCCTTACACTGAAAGGAAGGGCTGCAGAGGCTGGGACAATGGTAATAATGACAGGTTTTAACTACCTTGAAGCTGATCATTGGTTCAATGGTACTGCTGGAACAGCAAAAGGGAGGACAGTTATGAAGGAAGGTATTATAAGACTATTTTATGGGGCAGTTGTGAGAAACTGCAACTAGAAATGATGCTTGACATGTTATTGTCAAACATTGCAGAGATTATCTCAAATGTGCATATAAATAAAATCTAGGTAGCAGCAACCATAGCAAGATTTGTTTCACTTTACGCTGTAAACAACTAACACAAATTGGAAAGACAAAAACACTTTATTTTAAGTGTGTCCGTTTTGCCATGTTGAGGGCTGTTCACCAACATTTATATTGGGAGGCAATATTGTCAACAAAAGGAGCAGAACATAAATGGTCGTCTTCAAATTGATTCCATGTAAACACATTGCAACATTTCTTCCCCCTGGGTGATACATTTAAAGGCTAAAAATAAAACCTGTTTGGCTTACTTGTCGTCTTTAAAAGGCCACAAAGAAAAGTGTATATAAAATAAAACTCAATGGCCACTTTTATCATTTATTTTCCAACAATTCAACTTGGACTTAAAGCGGACCTTTACCCAGATCTTTAAAATAACAACAAACACACCTTTAGAAATGTTTAGTTATGACAATCTACACACATACTTCTAGATAATTGCCAGGTTTTTATTCTTTGTATATCTTATTTCTCTTTTCTTTCCCAGTCTTCTGGCAGTGGCCATATTTACTAAGGGCAGATCACTAGCTCTCCTTTTACTTCCTGGATTTCTGGCACATGTCACTAGACATGTGACCATTTACATCATCTCAGGGGAGGAAAATGCCTTTCGCTGAGATCTCCTGAGATTACAGATGAGATTTCCCAGCAATGCTCTGCTGATGTAACCTTCCCAGTGTGCATTGCGTTGGCAAACTGAAGTCATTTTGCCCTTTCAAAGCAGGAAGTGAATGCTCTGCAAGTGTCAGTATTTCACAATCAAACTAATGAATCCAGATCACACATATAGACATTGCTTAGCAAAGTATTTTTTTTTACATTTTTGCCCAAGCACTTGCAGTCATCATGTTTCCAAACAATTCCAACTCTCTCAGCTCGGCTTCCCTGAACTTCCTGCCCAGTACAAGATCACAAGGGACAGGGCATCCTTCAGTGGACGTACATCGACTAGCTTAGAAGAAGAAGGCGGAGGGGGCAGGAGAGGAGTGGATTGCCTTGCTGTTCCTGTGTGTTTGTGGAGACACACACAGCTTACTAGCACACACACGGTGGCTCCACCTTGCAAGGGAAAGGAGCCACCCTAACACAGTATCCAGCAGCTGTTTATCTACAAGCATGGTGATGGAAGGAAGAGGGACAGAAGAAGGAGATGTGTAGAGCAGGGATGTGGCTTGCTGTGCGTTTTTGGAGACACACAGCTCACTAGCGCACACAGGGGTGGCTCCAAAGGACCCTGCAAGGGAAAGAAGTCACCCTAAAACAGAATATCAGGGACTGTGCTCAGGGGACCAGCTGATTCTGCAGGAAAACATCAAGGAACAGCATCCATTGTAAGCTATATCATCAGCATTTGAGAAGTTATGTATAAATAGTGCATAGAGTAAACTCACTGGACAGTCGTTCACTTTAAAGGAGAACTATGGGGTCAGTGTTTTTCCCCATAGTTCTCCTTAGGGTAACGGGAGGACACAAACTAGCGTCCTCCCGTCACCCTAGGCTCAGTATACCGCGAGCTACAGCTCGCGGTATACTGAGACGCCGCAGCCGGAGCGGATCCCGACATCGATGTCTGGATCCGCCCAGCTGCGTGAGTGACAGCTGGCTCTGCCTATCTAGAGGCAGAGCCAGCTGTACCCGCCCCCTCCCCCGTCCGTTCCGCCAGTCAGCGCTGGCGGATCAGAGCGGGGGGAGGGGAATCCAGCCCCTCCCCTGTCACGGCAGAGAGCCGTGACAGGATCGAGAGGTTCGCTCACCTCCCGATCTACTGAGCCAACCTGTGACAGTCTCATTGTCACAGGACGGCTAGAACTATGAGGTGAGTGAAAAGCACTCATCTCATAGTTCTCCTTTAAGTTCACTGCTGCGGAGACAAGGGCACTCCATGGCCAGGCCTATAAAAGAATTGTCTGTGAGTCACAAAGAGAGAGGAGAAAGACTTAACCACTTGAGATTACACATAATCAGATGGATAATACAGTATTAAACTAGAGATTGCAGATGGGGCATCTTCTAAGCCGCTGTTCTATCACAGCATAAATATTACATATTATTAATATCTTTTATTTATATAGTGTGATTATATTTTATGTAGATTGCAGTAAACACATATCAATTATTCATGATACAAAACAGGAAATAAGGGGTAGGAGGACCCTGCTGGTTACTGCTGACATTCCAATATCACTCCGATGATGTGCTCAATGCTCTGCTTGTCTCTGAAGAGGACGATTTCTTTTCAATGTTACCAATATTTCTTTTGTTGGAGATTTGCTGTGGATGGGTAAAGCATAACAGAAGGGTTAAAATTGTTAAAATACCTTCCCGGGACAAAATGCTGATCCAACTTCCTTTTAGTGCTGACCACACGTGTGGAGGAATAAGCATGATCTCTACTTATAGGACGAGCATAGTTCAGATTTGGTGGGAATACCAAAAACGTACCCTTGCAGTGGGGCTACTACCGTCAACTGCTCATAATGTCTACGGGGCTCAAATAAAGCAATTTTAGGCCTCATTCACACTGATAAGCGCCGGTGCGTACAGATCTGTGCGGTGTGCACAGGCCGTATCGGGCCGCTCCCAGGAAGGACAGGTGCTGCGTGTGATTGTAAGCAGCAGCCTGTTCTTCTCTACAGGAATGCGCGGCCGTGCGCTGCCGTATCCTCACCCGAACTGCATATGCGTGCAGGTGTCCGTGCTCAGACGCAGACAGGATCCGTGCTCGGGTGAGCGTATAGTCGCGTACTCCCATAGAGAAGAACAGGCTGCTACGTATAATCACACGCTGTCCTTCCTGGGAGCAGCCCGATACGGCCCGTGCACGCAGCACGGATCTGTATGGGCCGGCCCTTAGCAGTGTGAATGAGGCCTAAGAAATCCGCATTTGTCAAGTGTCTGATGGCATTATCAAATGTTCTGACAAGATTTTTCATATGAACATTCGTACAAAAATCTACCAGCGTATGGGCGGCTTAAGATTAGAAACTCTGGAAATGTTTTTGTTTAGTGCCGTCCTCTCCTCTTTTTTATGTGTCTTTTGCTCTATCTTTCTGTCTCCTCGCTCTCAGGCTGTACACATAACAGCTCTTTGGACAAATTTGCTGCTGAAATCACGCACTATTTTTACTGTAATTGGCAGTCATAGGCAGGGCAGCTCACAGCAGCCCTGGGGGAAAAGTGCAAAGGGCTATTAAACATTATGGCTTTACTTCATTGAACGGTGCTTTTTAGGTTGAACTGGGAGCTTACTGAGGAGAGGGGAGATAGACTGAGCAGAGAGGTGTCATCACCAGTGTGACGAGACCCCCTTATTGTCCAGTCAGAAGGCAGAGGGTCAGTCAGAGTGAGAGTCAGTAACCAACCTGTTAAGCATTGTAGTAACTATCCCCATTTTTCTGTTATAGTAGTTGTCTAAATATACCTGCGCAGTCACCTATGTACCAGACTTGAATGCTTTCAGTAATCAGCAATTAGTAACACTTGTGGTCAGACATGACCCTTTACCTTCTCTGCAATGCAAACCTGTATGGGGACACTTAAGCTGCCCATACAACTTACGATTATCGGGCGATTTTCATATGCGATTGTGTTTTTGTCCGATATTCGTAAGGTTGATGGGCAGTGTACAACCGCAAATACTGTACAATCGATCGACTTTTGACTATCCAGCTGGTTAGAAAACTTCGGTCGATCGCACGATTTTTCGCAAGGTTGGTGGTGTTTCCGTACGTCAAAAATCGTACGATTAACACTGCACATGTGCAGACGAAAATACGTGCGGTCGATTACCGCAATTCGTCCAGGAGCTTTTTTTTAATTACTGCTGATTGAACCTTGCGATAATCGGGACAGGATGGGGCCGCCGTACGAAAATCGTACGATGATCGTAATGGTGTATGGGCAGCTTTAAACAGAGTGCTTTCAGTAATCAGCAATCAGTAACACTTGTGGTCAGACCTGACCCTTTGCCTTCTCTGCAATTCAAACCTGTGTGGGGACTGTTCGATGGAAGACGTGCGACCGTACAGTAGAAACGGTCGCACGTCTTCCATACACTGCACGATTCTCGTACGATCGCGGGATTTCCCGCGATTCTCGTACGAGAATCGTGCAGTGTATGGGCACCTTAAAGCTGCCCATACACCTTGCGATCATCGGGCGAAACTTTTCATCCGATGATCAAACCGTCGTACGATTTTCCTACGCCGGCCCTATCCTGCCTCGATTATCGCAAGGTTCAATCAGCAGTAATTTTTTAAAAGAAGCACCCGGACGAATTTCGGTAATTGACCGCATGTATTTTCATTTGCGAATGAGCAGTGTAAATCGTACGAATTTTAACGTATGGAAACGCCACCAACCTTGTGAAAATCGTTCTAACCTGCTGGTTAGTCAAAAGTCGAATGATTGTACAGTATTTGAGGTTGTACACTGCCCATCAACCTTACGAATATCGGACGAAAAGCGCGATCGCATGCGAAAATCGGGTGTATGGGCAGCTTTATAGTGGAGGATGTGGATATTATTCAGCTCTGCCGCCACAGAGCACTGGAGAGGGAGAGCAAGAAGCAGCAGAGAGAAAACAGTATTTTAAGGCATTTTCAAGCAAAACTTGGTCACAAATCACAGCATTGGTGGGAGCAGGACTTGTACAAATGAAATAGCATAAGACTTTAATTGAGCTTTAATGGCAGAGGAGAACATTTAGGTCATCCACCCCTGACTATGCATTATGGCGGAGATGTCTGGAGTACAAGGCTGACTTAACAGAATTACAAATCCTTTGGCAGGTAAAACCGTTTTGTGTATCTGTATTTTAAGCATGCATGTAGCTGTTTGCCTGGAGTTCATCTTTACGATCTGGTGAATCTGTTAATTAAGCATTTATGTCTTCTAATAAGCTCTAGCTGTGTTGTCTCTGAGAAATAAATACAAAGGTAAATGCTCTTACTCTTTTTAGCCGGACAGATGGCCGCCGTTGGTCTCTTGCCTCCCTTCCATCATCGGGATATGGAACAAATACCCCAAGCTCCACTGTATCAGTGAGTAATAAATCCTTTTAAAGAGGACCTAAAGTCCAACCATATGCTCAGATATATATCTCCTTACCAACTCCAGTTATTGCCGCCCAAACACAGCTATGACAGTGCATCACATGACCACTTAACTAGGTGATATCCAGGCAGAGCCAGTCAGTAGGTGGCTCTTCTGAATACAGACCCTGCCATCTGACAGAGCCCACTCCAGCCATAGCGAAAGTGTTGCAGTGCCATGAACCAGAGGTACAGAAATACGATGAAAGGGCATGAAAAACAACCAAAAACACTCTTTCAACTATGAACAGACACCTGTTATGAAATAAATAATAGTCAGGGTTCCTGATCTGCCTATATGTACTTAATCAGAGACTCAAAAAGCACAGAAGCCAAAGAATCTGCTTGACAGCTAAACAGATTCCATTTTTAGAAACACAATGGCAGTCTGAATGTTCCCATTGACAACAGTTTATATTTGAAAGATCCAACCACCACACAATCATTCTGTAGGGAAGTTGGGTTTTGGCTGTTCCTCTTGGTTCCTTATCTTCTTCCTTCTTTCTTTTTTTGAAGTCCTCCTCCTCATCTCAGGAACGTCTCCACCAGCTCCCCTTCCAGCCCACCCTGGATGAACTTCACTTCCTCTCCAAACATTTTGGCAGCACTGAGAGCATCCCCGATGATGACGGGGGTCGAAGGTCACCGGCAGTTCGACCCCGGTCTCGAAGCTTGAGGTCAGTTGGTGGTTTCAGGATTGTATTCTGCTCTAAATTCCTATTAGTCTGTGTATCTGGCCTTTCAATGTACCCTCACAGGCCTATTTAGGGTAAGTATAGATGGACCCTTGTCTAGATGTACTTAAAGCAACCCAAATTGGGGCCCTATTGGCCCTTCCGCTAGCTAGCTTAAGGGTCCATTGAACTCTCATGAGAAGTCACATCACTTATTGTGGTAACAGGTTAGCATAGGGTGATGAAAGCTGTTATAGCAGCTTTAGGACCGGAAGTTAAATGACTCTCAATGTCACTGGTATGCCAAGTTTACTCATCAGCAATTCACCAGACTGTTGACTACAGGAGGGAGCTCTCTGTATCAGATTAAATGTACCATACTAGTCAGATGGATTGCCCAGAAGTGTGCCAAGCTTTGGAGGGTGTGGTTTCACTCACAATTAATTTAATTTGGTTATTTTGGGTGGGATCGTGGTTTTTGGGGTTTATACTATGCAGATTAGTGGGAGGTGTCTGCTTTGTTCTTATTTTCACTGTGAAATGTTGGCAATGAAAGAAAATCTAAAAATGCTTTCTCCATCTTTGAGTCTACCATTGCTTATCTAGCATCCCTGGCTCTGCCATGTCAACTCTTGGTGACCCTGTCCATTGTTTTACAGTCCTGGCCGGTCGCCTTCATCTTATGACAATGAAATAGTAATGATGAATCATGTCTATAGGGAGAGATTCCCTAAGGTAAGATCATTGATTATAGTTACATAGTAATCTTCCAGAAGTTCTGTATCACTGTTATGTGCATGGAACTAATTGTAACCTTGATTAGATGTCTTCCCACTCATATATTGCTACCTAATGAGATGATCAACTTTGTTCTTCTCAGGCCACGGCACAGATGGAGGATCGACTCCGGTTGTTCATCTCCAACTTCTCTCCAGAGAATGTTCTACCGATGGCTGATGGGGTTCTTAACTTCATCCATCACCAGATTGTGGAGCTGGCCAGGGATTGCCTGACCCGGAGCACTGAGGGCATGATCACCAGTACCTACTTCTATCAGCTGCAGGATAACTTGGACAGATTGCTACTGGATGTAATTATCAGGGGTAAAGGGGTAGACTGGTCTGGCATGACGCCATAATCTACTTGTTCACTGTGTGGGCCCCCTTATAACATTCCAGTCATTATTGTAGCCTCTCTTGTTAGCTGTTAGACAAGTTATCAGTCATTTAAGATTCTTGAACTGAGTTTTCTTTCATGTAACCATGCTTCTCTTCTGTAGGCCGTGGAACGATCTGATGGATCAGAAGTTGCTTTCATTGCCCAGCTGATGAAGAATCTGCTCATTATTATCTCTCGGCCAGCTCGTCTGCTAGAGTGCCTGGTGTGTAATTTATTTTCCTAGAAATATTGGCCAAACTGAGGCTATTGTATACATACCTCTCTCTCTCTCTCCCCTCTCTCTCTCTCTCTCTCTCTTTCTCTCTATAGATGTAATTTTTTTTTAGAATAAGCATCTTCACTACTAGAGGCCACCTACTTGACCAACATGTACCGCTCTGTCTCAGGTCGGCTCAGTAGATCGGGAGGTGAGCGAACACATACCGACGTTCGCTCACCTCTCGATCAGAGAGCCGTGACAGGGGAGGGGCTGGATTCCCCCCTCCCCGCTCCGATCCGCCAGCGCTGACTGGTGGAACGGACGCTCTAAATAGGCAGAGCCAGCTGTCAGTCACGCAGCTGGGCGGATCCCGGCATAATTGTCGGGATCCGCTTCAGCTGCGGCGTCTCAGTATACCGCTTCAGCAGCTCGCGGTATACTGAGCCTAGTGTGACGGGAGGATGCTAGTTTGTGTCCTCCCGTTACCCTAAGGAGAACTATGGGGAAAAGCCTAAACCCATAGTTCTCCTTTAATTACGAGTCCAGTATACACGATTATAAGGCTACCACAAAGTTTAAGCTCTTGGGTTCAGAACATCTTTATAGTCCCAAGCCCTTCAACTGTCCCATGGATGACTGGAAGGATATGAGCGGGTGCACAGTAACTGCCTCAGATCTTCTTGACATTGTACGGGAACATCTGTGGCAGACAGTACAGAGAGCACTTGGCTTCACTGAATGTGGAGTTGGCAAGGGAATATGCACCTCCAGCCTATAGGTCCCATAGCATCTGTATGGACAACTGTAGTGGTGGTCTTCTAAGTGTGCAAAATTGTAATCTGCAATACTGCAAACTTATCTGTTCAGATACAAAGCCAAAGATAATTCTATTGATAATTTACATTCTGATGACATATTTCGAGATTTACTAATAATGTTTACACTCATGTCTATACAAAAGGCAGTTCACATACTAGAATGTTTTTAGATTGCGAGCATAAAATTGCACAGCCACATAGAGGACTTACAAAGAGAGCTTCCAAATATTTGGGTCAAGTTGAAGTATTTGCTGTTTTTAGGAGTTTAACCCTGAGGAGTTTTACCACTTACTGGAGGCGGCTGAGGACCAGGTGAAGGAGGGCAATCTGAAGACAGACATACCCCAATACATCCTTCGTCAGCTGGGACTCACCAGGGACCCTTTCCCAGGTAAGCTGCTTTTGGATTCTAAGTGTACTGGGTGTTGCATGGGCATCTGGGGACTGCTGCTTGTATCTAGGGATTTTGGAGGGAAGAAACCTCATGACATAAGCATAATAGAAATCCAGAGCAGAAACAGAAAAATGAGAAGCCTGCAGATACACGGCAGAGTACGCACAGGTTCACACACAAACAGGAACATACCATGTTGCCAGCTGATGATAAATAGCTCCCAATGGAGTGCAGGTAAGTTGGGTAAAAGTGCAAAGAGACTTGTGCAGCATGACAACTGCTGTACAGGCATGAACAGACAGAGTTCAGAGGTACACAGCAGACAGACAGGAAAAAAGTTGTGACCTGGAGCAACAGGACATGCATGCAAATAGAAAGAATCAAAAGCAAAGTCAATACAGGTTAGATCTGGATGAACCTAGTCCAAAAGAAGGAACATACAGGGGCCAAAATGCCAGAGTGAGTACAAACTAACTCTAGACAGATACACCAGTGTTGACTAGTGAGTGCAGAGCCCCTAAATTGCCAAAACACAGAACAGATTAGACACAGGCAAAGGCAGATGGTAGAGCAGATGAGGAAGAGGACACCAGACTTGAGAGGTCGTAGGGGACCACAAACCATAACCTTAACAGGTGGCCTTCTTAAATGCCTCCATGACCTTTTCTTCTGCTGCCATTACAAACCCTAATGTGCTTCATGCCAAATTTTAATGTGGCCTGAGCTGTGTTCCTCAGATACTTCTAGGACTACTGGCTTCACTGTCTACCTCAGGAAGGATTCAATACTAGAGACTATGAAGTGTTAGCCTCCAACTTTCACATGCTATACAGTAGACATGTGCGAAATTCGTTAGGGGTAGTTTGTTCGAACGTTCGTTTCCGTTTCTTATTCGTTTCTTATTCGTTTCTTATTCATTTCGTTCGTTCGTTGGAGCAAAGTGACATTAGAGAAGGAGAAAAACATTTTCCCCCCTCAAATGTCACTTTGCTGCAAACGAATGAACGAAACGAATAAGAAACGAAAACTAAACGAACTACCGCTAACGAATTTCGTTCGAGTCCAAATTCCGAATCCGAATTGACTTTTACACCTGAATTCTGAAAAACGAAATAACACAAAATCCGAATCAGAACGAAACTAAACTAAACTAATTTTTTGGCAGTGCACATGTCTACTATACAGTGTCATGGGATATAAAGTTATAATGGCTGAAGGTGGCACAAGGCCTGTGGAGGCCAAAATTTAAACTGGCAGCAACTTTTCCACTTTCTCATTAGTAGTGGGGAGTAAAGTGGTACTTCATACAAGCCAGTCCACTTTCTATTACTGATAAAGGAGTGGTCCATAAATTGGGGAGACTGATACTGTGCCATCGGTGTTCACAACAGCATTAACATTACGTGCTGTGTGGCATCATTGTCCATGTCTGCATTTGGTTCCATTGGGCTGCTACTGTTGCAGTGAAAAGAAAAGCCTAACTATTGATGTTCTGCTGTATTTGCACAGAGGTTGTAGCTGCTGAAGAGCCAGTGACTGTGGAGACGCACACACCAGAAAGTGAGGACATTGTAGAGGTGAGACATCCGTCAGCTTTCCATTCTGTGGAATTAATGGTTTGAAAAAGAAATTGCAGTGGAAAACCCCTCTACTTACTAACACATAGGAGCATCAACCTGGTAGACTTTATCTGGATATATATTTCCAGAGCACTAAACTTACATGGCCAGGCAGCGATGACCAGGTTTTAGATTCTTTTCTTGTTATTTAGGACAGGCCATTGTTAATTCTGCAGTTTTTCTGTCTGTTCTTACACATATTATATCTCAGTCTCCTTAAGTGGATTTACCTTAGGCTTCTCTGTGCCCTTCTTTTTAGGGAAAAGGAGGTGCAGTCTCAAAGCCCATAAGACCGCCAGAGGAGAGCGACTTTGAAACCATTAAACTGATCAGTAATGGGGCCTACGGGTGAGTGGTCCTTGTCCGATGCAACACTTTTGCAGGTGAAATGAACAATGGGCCCTGCACAGCGTTTGGGGGTCACTATTCACTGCCAACTAAACATCTGTGCTTCATGAGGGGTTAGCACATCAAATATGATCACAAAACTATGGATTCATTTTTTAAAATGGAAGAAGAACATAGTGGATGTGTTTTCTATAGCAACCTGTCAGGTTTTAGCCTTCATTTTCTAATCTGCCCTCTTATTCGCTCAACATCATGTGGTCAACAGCATCTTCACTTTTTTTACCGCTATAAGTATATAAAGCCTATTGCTAAGGAAAAAAACACAGAGAAGGCAGCCATTTTGTAAGGCGAAACAATCTTTACATTATCCAGATTGGTAAATACTGCAGTTTAAATTCTTGCCCAGAACACAAAATGGCTTCCTCACTCAAAGACAACCAACGGGGCTTAAGTAGGAAACGTTATATTCAGGCCTAATGTATTATAATTGTGAAGACTAAGCTGTTAAAGATCTTTACTCCCCCGGCCCCATCCCTGTTTAGGCTTATACACTGGTCTGTGCCTAACACTTCAATCGGAAACCAATCAAAGCCAATGGACCAACATGACGGCCAAGCAGCCTTTTCTGGAGGCCATCAATGACAGCTTATTTCTCACAGTATGGGTTCCCTTTAAAAAATGTCTTCCCATTTTAGTGTTCTACCAGCCATAAAGGTCCATAACTGCCAAACAAGAATAAAAGAAAATGTAATTTCCTTGCAAGCCGTAAACAGGATTTCCTAGAATCCTCAGCTAACTGCTTCTGAAATTGGTTCGCTGCTTCCCGCAGAAGTGTGCACAGAGCTGGAAGTCAAAATAAAGGCAGCCTGTTGTGTGGTGTATAGGACCAATCCAGGAAATGAGGAGAAAAAAAAGAGAGATAGTTGAGGATGAATTTGGAACTGTTGACCCTAATGACCAGTCTGAATTCTTAAATGAAAGGTAAAACCTGAATGGTCGCTGTGGGCAACAACTCCAGTTTTGTGCTCTTCTCCAGTCTTCATGAATCAGTCCCACCCTATGACCCTATGATCATGTGATTATAATATAAGCAGTACTGTACCTTCCACTAAGAACTAATTCTGGAAGTTGTGAGCAAGTGCATTGGCTAGGTCTATCTTACTATGTCATGACGTTTGCTTAAGTTCTTTTGCAATGTATATACTCAATATACAGAGTTTCACTTGATTGGCTAGACTCCCAAGGTGCCAAAAAAGGGTGTAAATGTTGTGTGATTTTTTCCCCCCTCACCACAGAGCTGTATACTTGGTCCGTCATCGGGAGACCCGACAGCGGTTTGCAATGAAGAAAATCAACAAGCAGAACCTTCTCCTGAGGAACCAGGTCCATCAGGCCTTCGTAGAGAGAGACATCCTGACCTTTGCACAGAACCCTTTCGTAGTCAGCATGTTCTGCTCCTTCCAGACCCGCCGGCATCTCTGTATGGTTATGGAGTATGTGGAAGGTAGGGCTCAAGATATATATGGTTACATTAAAGGAGAACTATGAGGTGAGTGAAAATCACTCATCCTCATAGTTCGATCCGACGTGTGACAATGAAACTGTCACACGTCGGCTCAATAGATCGGGAAGTGAGGGAACACATACCGTCGCTCGCTCACTTCTCGATCATCTCCCTGCAGAGAGCCGTGACTGTCAGTCACCACCAGGGAAGGGTCCTCCATCCAAGTTGTTTAGCATGGATGGGGGAATCGATTGATTTATCTATCTTTTCATGTGTTTTCCAGTTGCTCCTGGCCTCCTGCTGAAACATAAAGCCTCATGTCTACAGAGCACAGCAGCTCAAGCTGAAAGTAAACCTGTTGCTTTAGCCATAATACATCCTATGTTTAGGCATCTGTCCTTTATGAAGTGTTAAGACTCCCAACCAGCCTCCTTTGCAGCTTATTTTTTTTTTTTATTATTAAAAACTACCAGATTGGCTCATGACTTGAATATACCATTGATGGGGTATCTATACAGTATACATAACTGTATGTAAGTGTTTTTCTGTACTGATGGTGTGTTTCCATCCTCGGCAGGGGGTGACTGTGCCACACTGCTGAAGCACATTGGTGCCCTTCCACTGGAGATGGCACGGCTATATTTCGCAGAGACTGTATTGGCGTTGGAGTACCTGCACAATTATGGGATAGTTCACCGTGACCTGAAACCGGACAAGTGAGGACCAGTCTGTGCATATACAGTAATCATGTACATACGAGCAGGGGCATATTGCCTTTAGGCCTCTTTCACATTAAAGGAGAACTATGAGGTGAGTGCTTTTCACTCACCTCATAGTTCTAGCCGACCTGTGACAACTGTCACAGGTCGACTCAGTAGATCGGGAGGCTACAGCTCGCGGTATACTGAGCTTAGGGTGACGGGAGGACGCTAGTTTGTGTCCTCCCGTTACCCTAAGGAGAACTATGGGGAAAAGCCTTAACCCCATAGTTCTCCTTTAACATGCACAGCCGTATAGTGTGCACATCGATGCAAAAACTTGTGCCGGGTGCTGCATGTAGCTGCCTGCAGCTACGTGCAGGATGCGGCTGCACGCTGATATGAACTTGCACATCCCTACAGGTACAAATGCACGCCCTTGGACACAAACCGTCTGCTGGGGAATAAAAAGTAATTTGGTCCTCTAAGCAGCGGTGACTTGATAATATGTCGGCAATAAATGGCAGGGCTGGCAATATATGGGCTACAAATGGGCAATCACAAACTAAATGGAGGCAACCGTTGTAATGCACAGGCAACAAAGGGTCAGTACAGTAAATACAATATGGGAGACACAAATGGGCATATGGGACAATATGTGGGCAAATCCCCCAGAACCAGTTCAGCCACCTCTTCCCAGCAAAAGCGTTCCTTCCAGCAAAAATATTCCCCCTGCAAAAAAGTTACGAGACCTCAGAAGCAGAGCAGTGCCCAGCAGGAAGCCCTTCCAAACTCCCCCTTTGTTTTGTGGCATGTGAAACATCAAAGCCAAGAAGGAGCCTGGGAGAGCTTCTGTCTTGCAGCACTGGGCCCCCCCAGTACCTGCAAGGCCGAAGTGATAATCACTAAGCCACTACTGGTATGTGGGTGTTCCCATAGAGCCGTAGACAATGTGACCCTTCAACTGGCTGTACCCAGGGTGAAGAGAACCCACCTCCCTGTCCCTGCTATGCCAGTACATTCAAGTGTTTTATAGTCATGTATATAGCAGGTGGTGTAGCAAAACTCTGAATGTGTAAATATCACCTACTGTACACCCACTATACACACACCTACTATACACATACAGTGCTCCCACAGCCTAACCAATTATGAGTATAAAGCTCATACATACAAGGCTTTTATTGGTGCAATGAGCAGTAAAAGAGACTTGTATACAATGCTGGGCCCTCATCATAGTCTGGGCCCAGTATGTGGTGCCCACACTGCTCCACTTTCTGCTTATTCACTGGTATATATCAGTATGTATGGTCTGTGTCTTTGTCTGGTAATGTCTAACTGAGAGTATCTCACTCCTTTTTTGTCTCTGTTTCTTTTTTACCTCAGTCTTTTGATTACTTCCATGGGTCACGTAAAACTAACCGATTTCGGCCTCTCCAAAATGGGGCTTATGAATCTCACCACCAATTTATACGAGGGACATATCGAGAGTGAAGCCAGAGAATTCCTGGACAAACAGGTGATAATAAAGGGTTACTCTGTCTGTGTCACCCTGTGGTGGGAGGGACAGACTCCATGTCACATAGCTCTCCCTGTCTGTGTCACCCTGTGGTGGGGGGACAGACTCCATGTCACATAGCTCCCCCTGTCTGTGTCACCCTGTGGTGGGGGGACAGACTCCATGTCACATAGCTCCTCCTGTCTGTGTCACCCTGTGGTGGGAGGGACAGACCCCATGTCACATGGTTCCTCCTGTCTGTGTCACCCTGTGGTGGGGGGGACAGACCCCATGTCACATGGTTCCTCCTGTCTGTGCCACCCTATAGTGGGAGGGACAGACTCCATGTCACATAGCTCCTCCTGTCTGTGTCACCCTGTGGTGGGAGGGACAGACCCCATGTCACATGGTTCCTCCTGTCTGTGCCACCCTATAGTGGGAGGGACAGACTCCTTGTCACATAACTCCTCCTGTCTGTGTCACCCTGTGGTTGTAGAGGCAGACTTCATGTCACATTGCTCCTCCTGTCTGTCTCACTCTATGGTGGGAGAGACAGACTTGTCACACAGCCTGTTTATAATAAATAGGTAATAACTAGAGGAATATATTTTTCTATATCCAGGTTTGTGGGACCCCAGAATACATTGCTCCAGAGGTGATCTTGCGGCAGGGCTATGGAAAGCCTGTGGATTGGTGGGCAATGGGCATTATCCTATATGAGTTCCTGGTGGGCTGTGTCCCTTTCTTTGGTGACACCCCTGAGGAGCTGTTTGGTCAGGTGATCAGTGGTGGGTATCTTTTCTTCTGCTTTTCATATGTTTAGCTATTCCTGTACATTTGTCCCTGTCTGATATTTTGTTATATATCTGAATATGGTCTGTCAGGTTCAGTGAGGATTTGAGCAGATGTGAGAATTGATGTTTGAATGGACTTTATATAGACTTGTAGGTAAACTTTTCCTAAAAAAGATGATATTAATATATACTGTATGTCATACTCTCGCTCTTAATTCTCTCTTTAATTTGCCTTGTTTCTTTTCTTCCAGATGAGATAGTCTGGCCAGAGGGGGAAGAAGCACTTCCAGCTGATGCCCAAAACCTTATTTCTAGCCTCCTGCAGACAGACCCCTTACTCAGACTGGGCACAGGTCAGACATATTAGGCCAAAGGTCATAGTGAACCAGCTTGCTCTCTACAGTCCTATATAAAGATTTATATATGTCATTTTTCTAGCAGGCAAACTGTACGTAGCCAAATGCATTTGAGCAATGACTAAGCACATATGTGTTGGCCACTTTCAATTGCTCCAGTTGGTATATGAGTACTAGTACTTGGTTCACTTATAGTCAAGGGGTCGAGCATGCCACTTGTGCTGACTGTGCACCTGCACAAGGACCCTTCTGGAACTTGGGGGCCATTTATACTGGATGTTGGTTGGGCGAGTGTTAGGACCCCTCCTATTGTCCTACGTCTGGATACAGCTCACTTATAGGGCAGGGGAGCTCTTTTTTACTGCTTGCAAGAACATGTAAATACTTTAATGTCCATAGTCTGGGCAAATGTGTACTATAACCATAGAAACATAAGAGTGATGGCTGAAGAAAGTTAAGTGGTTCATCAAATGTGCCTCTTTTTTATTTATTTCTTTTTTCTTTTAACATTTTGTATAGATCTGTGTTTGTTCCAAACATGTCTATATGCCCAAACAATGCTCCTAGTTTGCAGTACCCACGTGGATTCCCTGCCTGATAGGTACTGAGATATGCAGAATACTTCTCCCATTTCCTTTTGGTACCATTTGGACTGAAAGTGGTGGGAGAGTTCGGGGTATCACAAAGGCCATTCTTCATATCTATCTATCTATCTATCTATCTAGCTCTCTATCTATCTATCTATCTATCTATCTATCTATCTATCTATCTATCTATCTATTTATCTATCTATCTATCTATCTATCTATCTATCTATCTAGCTCTCTATCTATCTATCTATCTATCTATCTATCTATCTATCTATCTATCTATCTATCTATCTATCTATCTATCTATCTAT